GCCTCACTCTGTTGTTAAATAAACTTGGTCCTGGAAAGGATTTTTTTGTAGTGTTGGTATGTATATTACTAATGAGTAGTTAACATCTTATCTCAAGTAGACGCTCAGACTATTCTCTCTTTGCAGAAGCTGAAATAATTCATGCTAAAGAGTAAAAGGTTAAAAAAAAATTAAACAGGAACATGAAAGGAGTGACATTCACAACTTCAAATAACTCGAGCCTCAAAGTTTTCATTGTGGCTTAAATCAAGATATACGTCGACATTTACATCACCTAATCTGTTCCCTCAGATGGTTGTTTACACTTTAATGTAAACTAAGGAATCTCCCTCAGTGTTACTGAATGAATCGTAGCTCGTCACCTAAGGGCAGAAGTTTTTTGGGTTTCTTATTGTTGGGCAGTGCTGTGTACGATTGCTTTTAGATATAAAAAGGAATTGAAAAGTAGTTATATTAACGAAAAGGCTAAATTTAAGCTTGTGTGTTTAAATGCATAGTTAAAAGGACAATTCATAATCCAAACAGCATTTATAACAGCAGTTGAACAGCATCTTCCTCACCACAGACCCAACAACATAATTCATTTCCCCCAAATAGGCTGTTTTAGCCTCGGTGATCCAGCCATCGTCGTTTGCTCTATCAACGATGAAATCACTAGTGTTTTGGAGCTGTTCTTAGCATGCAGGTGCCTCTTCACATCTGAAGAATAATGCTTTTCCTGCCGACAGACACTCATCAGCAAAGAACAATTTGCACCATTTTATGGTGATTGCTCTTGTCCTTTTCAGCCCAACATTCAAAATCATTTCTATGAGGTAAACACTGTCCTCTCTATCGTTCTGCACATGCCCCCCGGTGGAAAGTTCACAGTGTATGTTTTTCTGTTCGCTCAGATAACAGTACCATTTGAGGTATGAGTTTTTTTATCTGGCAAAAATTCAGGCTCCTTTTCCTCCTGCCGATTAGGTCTTTGAATCCGATCTCAAAAATGTAGCTTTGCTCTATTTTCAGGAATAGGTACACTACACTTGCACTAATGGTCCATTTCACAATTGATTAATGATATACTCAAGATTTGTTTATTTACACTCCGACTCATGTCTTGTTTAGTATAATAAATTAAAAGGAAAATCAATGGATCTTCTTTATGGATTAATCAGTTTAGAATTGACATGTAGCAAGGATGTGCCCTTCAAACTGGCATGAATGTGGTTCACAACCAGTTAAGATAAGGAGTTAAATCTAACTGTGGGAGTTGTTCTGCCCCGTGTGGTACATTAAAATCAGCCTGACACCCAGTGAGACACAAAATAAATCTGTCCAGTTGAGGGAACCATTGATATCTCGCTGACACATCCCCTTGAAATGACAAGTGGGCACCATGACACATCAAAGTGGTGCAGCAGGTGAGCCAAATCATTCGATTAGGCAGATTTATGGCTTCATGAAACTTGTTATTACCCATGGCGCGCTCCACTGATGTTCAGCCTGATGTCTTTATGAGCGGGCCGTTGTTCACCTTGTCCTGACAGACATTGGGTGATTATTCAAATATTAGAGACTTAATTTATCTCGTTGCTTGGGTCAGAACACCATCTGTCTTTGCATTTAAAACATATTTGCCTGAGGAAAGGTCCTAAATGCTACACATTAACTTCTTTTTTTAAAACATAATCCATTGTTTATCAAACCTCTTTGCTGTCAAAGATTATTTTGTTTGTGTGACAAGATTGTATTCTTAAACTGTGCATATTAATTACAGAAAAACAATCACGGTGAGACACAAACTGATCAATCAAATCAGCATCAACTAATTGAACTAATGACAAATAAAACTGAAAAAAGGGGAATTTTACATGGATGTGAAATAAATATTTCACTAATACTCTTTTTTTAAAGTATCATTAAGAAAGATTTCATGGAAAGACTCCTTTGAGTATGGTATATATATCAGATACAGATGTTTTTATTACTTTGTGACGTATGGCTAGTTAATCTATTAGGGTGGCTCATGCCTGTGAGTATTTTCTATGCTCATG